CTGCATACGGTGCACTGGTGTAAGCTTCTTCGGACGGTCGACCGAGCCTTTGTGAACCAGTAGGTAAGCTCTTCTTTTTTTCTGTCAGAGTTCCGTCTTGACCTGAGTGCAGTACCTTTTAGTGGTTGTACGTCACGATCAGCCGTGTGATTTCATCTCTGGCCGGGAGGATCGCTGGATGACGCGTCGAATAGGGCACTGGAGCCTTGCTGAGGCGTCCGCCGACGCGCAGCACGCCACCACCGTCCAGAAAAGGCGACATCTGACTCAATCTTCCCTCAGACCTCGCTGGGTTGCCGTTCCGGAGTGCGGCTGCTTCTGTGGTGAAGCTCCGCGCCGGACAGTAAGACGATCTTCTTCTCAGCCTCTTGAATCTCGTCTGCTGACAGCGGCCCCTGGCGCTTCCAGTCAGCTTTAGTCGGGCAGTTAGATGCGGTGAAGCTCGTCATGAATCGTAGCATCCAGGCTTCAAGTCTTTGGTAGCGCGTCCATTAGGAGAATTTCCCAGCGTCAGGAAGCTCAGTCACTTCGAGCTCTTGCTTCGTCGTGAGAACTTGCTTAGTTCTCAGTTCTGGGTCGTCCGCCAATACAGCCTTGCACGGTGGGTTCTCAGGCCAGTGCTTTTCCTCCTTCAGCAGGAAGCCGGGACCGTCACTCCAGCGCGAGTCTGCGAAAAGATCCGTGGCAGAGGCTCCCCTGGAGCAGACGTCAGCTGCATTGGAGCTGGACGGGACGTGCCTCCACTGATCCGGACGAGACAGGCCTCTCGGATTTCGGCCACCCGATTGGCTACAAAAGTGTGAAATCTACGGCTATCATTCCTCACATACTGCAACACAGCAGTGCTGTCCGTCCAGAACAGAACTCGCTCCACCTTGACGCCCAGCCCCTTCAGGATCAGGTTGGCTAATCTGACTCCCGATACCGCTGCTTGGAGTTCGAGCCTGACAATGGAGATTTGCTTTGGAGGCGCCACTCTCGTCTTCGACATGGCCAGGAAACAGGTGCTGGGACGATCGGGCATTATCGTCTTGATGTACGCCACTGCTCCGAACGCCAGTCCGTTTCGCATCAGGAGCCACCAGCCGGCGTCCGGTCCCCGGTACCAATTGGTCGTGGCTGGTCCGCTCATCAGCCCTCAGCGTTCGGACTTAGCAGCAGCCGGTAGGAGCGCTCTGGAATGTCCGCAGCACATCTTCAGCGGCCACTAGCCGGCGTCCGGTCCCCGGTACCAATCGGTCGTGGCTGGTCCGCTCATCAGCCCTCAGCGTTCGGACTTAGCAGCAGCCGGTAGGAGCGCTCTGGAATGTCCGCAGCACATCTTCAGCGGCCACTAGCCGGCGTCCGGTACATAGTAACAACCGGCCGTGGCGGGTCCGCTCATCAGCCCTCACCTTACGGACACAGCAGCTGCCGGCAGTAGTCGTCCAGCAGCTACCAGCCAGTCAGATCGCAGCAGCTTTCGGAAGTGTCCGCTGCACATCTTCAGCAGTCACCAGACGGTTTCGGTCACAGCAGCATGCAGTAGCCGGTCTGGTGCAGCAGCCAGCAGCGTCTGGTTCACAGGCTACAGCATCAACCGCCCGTGAAAGAACCGCAACAGCATTCATCAGTGGGCGACAGCGCCTTGGCCGCAGGCGAAGGCCGGCGCAGCCCGGACGGCCGCAGGCGGCGGTAGCGCTTTATCCGCAGCAGAGGGCGGTACCGCCGGGGCCGCATCAGCGGGCAGCGGCCTGCAGTGGGCGGGGGTCGGCAGCGTCCGGACCACCGCTGTAGGTGGTCCGGGACATTATTAGCTTTAAACCACGCAAAACACGTTCTGCCGCCCCACGTAATCGTGCCCATTGTCACCTCGCTCGTTGTTTCCCGACTCCGGTACTGCATCGCTGTTTACGGTACCTGCGGTGCTACGGAGTTGCACCGCGTTCAGAAAATACTGAATTTTTGCGCGCGAGTTGTGAGCGGGCGGAGGAATATGACAAGAGTGTCGGATGTGTTACGCGATCTGCAGTGGCTCACTGCACCAGACATGGCCCTGTATCATCGAATGTGCTCTGTACACCGCATTGTGGAGACACAACAGCCGACTGCGATGGCAAGCGAGTTGGACAGAGCGTCCGACCAGGGTCACAACACGCGAAATGCGAACCGGTTCAGGCTGCCACGAATTCGAACAGAGGCAGGCAGGCGGAAACTTTTGTATAGCGGTGTCCCGGAGTACAACGAATTCATGCACCGTTACAATGGTCGTCCAGCATTCAAAACCGCCGTGAAACGCTACTTGCTGGGGCGTGATTCAAACTGAATGATTGATTGACTTGTATGCATGTGTGTGATTGTGCTTGAATTGTGTGTATCTGTTTTGCTATGTCAACTATTTTTAACGTTTGACGTTACGTTGATGAAAAGCCGCAATAGCGGATTTAACGTGAATACAATGAATCTGAATCTGGCCGTGTCCTGGCCACGGAAGAGGGCGGCAGCACGAGGGCCGCAGCAGTAGGCGTCGGCAGTATCCGGCTGCAGCATTCAGTGGCGCTCGGAATGCAGTTGAGGACGGCATTCGGGTTGCTGATTCGCCACTCCTGAGCTGCAGCAGATCAACAGCCTCCTATTCCCCAGGTACACCGTTTGCGCAGCGGCATTCTCTTTCGCTGCGTCATCGTATCCGTCATCCGCAGTGTCATAACATCTGCGGCAGCATTCTTGTATCCGCCGCGGCATCTTCTTCCACCGTGGCCTTTTCCGCAGTGTTCTGTGGCACAGTTCTATTTTTCTGTGCAGCAGCAGTAACTTCCGCAGCATCATGGCTTCCGCAGCGGCATTTCGTCTCCGCAGCGGCATCAGTCTCCGCAGAATCGGCATCCTCAACCGCGACGTCATCGTCTTTGCAGCGGCTTCGTCTTCCGCAGCGGCGATATTCGCAGCGACATCGTTTCTGCGGCGTCGTCTCTGTCTCATCGGTCATCGTCTTCTTTGCTGCATCGTTTCGCCGCATCATTGTCACCGCAGCTGTAGCTCCTTCCGCAGCAGCCCTTTCCGCAACGTCACCATTTCTTCGGCGGCAGCAGCTTTTGCAGTATCATAGTCGCTCTAGCGGCATCTCGTCAGCAGCGGTGAGGCAGCAGCTCCGCAGCATCGGCGTCGTGTCCGCAGCGGCCTTCATTGCAGCGGTTCACGGGAGTGCCTGCGGCAACGTTGCGGCGCCTGGCGGCGGCGCAGCTTGACGGTACTGGTGCGTCAGTCGAGCCATCGAAGGTGCTCGGGCACCACGCAGTTGCACCGGCGCAAGTGTCCGGCACGGCCGGTCAGCTGTTTGCATGAAGCTGCTTCCAGTCGCCCAGCGTCTCGAGCAGTGGCATGAGTGTGCCGACTGGCATCCTCGTTGGCTGCCGTCGCGCAGCGGGTCACCATCGGTCTGTCGGCAGTGGCACACTCACATATGAGCATCTTTTCTACATCAGGCGTACACACACATATACCCATATACACGCATACTGTCGTGTCGTCTCTTCTCGCCTTCTTCACCCACTCGTAGTCACTCTGCTGATTCCAGACTTGTATTACTATTAACCACGCGAGAAAAGAAAAAGTATAACGAAGGCCAGTAATAACATAACGCCAGTGCAGTGCGTGCCAACTCAGAGTATGGTGCCAGAGTGACACGTCATTCGCCTTTTAGCCCGACAATAGTTCCGCTCGGGAAACAGCTGACGCGGCGCACGCAGGTCGTCAGAAAAGACACACACGCGGGTTGTCAAAAAGACGAACAGATACGCAGGTTAACGAAAAGACGCGGCGGACAATCAATACGCTACACATACACAACAGACTATAAACAACCGGTCATAACGTTTCTGATGCATCGCTGCATTACGGGAGCGATCATACCCCATATGGGGGGAATTCGACGTGCTTGCACGGATTATTGTGATTAATTAGTAATTTTATCTTTTGGAGGCACTGAGGGATAGAAATGAAGGTAAATCTATACAGCGCTCAAAAACCGAATTGAATACATATGTATTATTTTACATTTACCGCAAGCGAATTAATGACAAATTCTGTCGTTACAAACGTTGCGGTCAGGTCGCACTGATCTCCATCGATGTCGTATTTACGATATCTCAATTTCAGACTGTTTGAATGTCCCCTCCCTCTGTGCTTATCTCTAAGCAACGCTCATAAACCCAATTATTTTTTTTTTACTGGAAACTATTTCTTTTGCCAGAAACAAAAGCTAAACATCGAGTTCTCATGCCTTTGTTAACTTGTTTTGTCGTAGCCGGCACTTTCCGGGACCTTTCTGTCCTTAAATTTAGCCGGCAGCGAACAGGCTCCGCCGCAGTCACCGTCCTCCCCGCCTGATTCATGGACCAACAAAAGAAGTGGCAGGTTGAACACAGAAAACACCAAACAATGCATGACTAAACAACCAAATAACTAAGAAACAATGCTGTTCTACCCCTCTACATGCAAATAACCGTGCACTCTGTCCCCGTATCGCGCATGAGGCTTACCTCGAGTCACTTTGTGTGGCTGTCATACACGACTAGAAAGTTCGAGTTCTGAAGCAGTCCGGCGTAATCCACATGAATACGCTCCCACAGTCCTCCGGCGGGCTCCCAGGAAGGCACGGAGGTCCTTCTCGTCCTGTGGCTCTGGAGCCGCGGACTGATCCGCCCTGGTTCGATCTGCACACCGGCCGCTGAGATCCTGTAACCGAGGAAATCAATGTCACGGCGGCTGGTGGCACTCTTCGACCAGTTTACTTTCATGCGGTAATCCTCAAACCGCCGCTGCACCTGCTTCAGGCGAGCGTCATGCTCTGCCTGGGACGGTGCGTGGATAATGATATCATCGAGGTACACCTCCACTCCCGGGATGCCCTCCAGCATAGACGTCATTGCCCTCTGGAAGCAAGGGCCGGCATTCGCCAGACCAAAGTTTACTCGACGGAACCGGTACAAACCCTTGTGACTGACAAATGTCGTCAATTCCTAGCTCTCCGGATGCAGCTCCAGCTGCTGGTACGCGTCCTTCAGATCCAGCCTGGAAAACATCAGCGAACCACGCAGCCGATCGAGAATGTCCTCCATCCTCGGAAGAGGATGTCCATCCGTGATGACCGCCTGGCACACCCTTCTCATGTCGACGCAGAAGCGGATGGCACCGTCCCGTTTCCTGCCAACGACCAGGACACTGGTCGTACTGCAGTGGTGCAGTAATCTCACCACTGCAGTGGTGAGATCCAGGGAGACGCGCTTATCTTTTCAACCACACCCTGGGCCTCCAACTCATCGATCCTGTCACTCACCGCCTCAGGCACAGCCAAAGGCAGGCGGCGCAGTGGCTGACGCACTGGTGATTTCCCTGGGTCAATTGTCACGCGGTGCTGGTACCCGCTAGCCAAGGATAGCAGGTTGGACCCCCGGAGAGGCTGGTGGCTCGTCTGGTGGGCTGGTAGGTTGGGCAGGCTCGGGAGAGGACACACAGGTAGGGTTGGTGGACACACTGCACACACGGTTGCCCACGATACAAACATCAAACACTTTCATCAGGTCTAGGCCCATCAGAGCACGTCCTGACGGCACCACATACACCTTAACCGACTCCGTCTTGCCACGGCATGACACTTCCACATCTTTCACTCCCAGCATCTCCAGCATACTCCCCCCGTAGGCACACAGGCTCTCCTCAGCTGCCCCGAGATCGATCACGCTTCACGGACTCCCTTGGGAGGTTAGACTCTGGGGACCCGGAGTTCACAGTAAGAGTTACTTTACTCCCTCTGCCACAGCGTCAAGGGTCAGGGGCATGGCGCTGGCCCCTACCGCTAGCACCTGCACAGTGCACACGTGACACTACGCCAGCGCCGCAGTGCTGGGCGAAGTGATTCGGCTTACCGCATTTGGAGCACTTTCTACCATACCCCGACCAGCTCCAGTCACCTCTTCGGTGTCCAGGGCGCCCGAAGCCCCAGCACTCAGGGCCTGCTGTCTGCTCCTGCGGTGGGAGAGGCTGCTGCTGTCTCAGCTGCTGCAGGGCTGAGGCCGGGCCGGAGCGTCGGCGCCTGGTCCCTCCTCGCTGAGACCTCTCTGGCTTCAGGGCCTGAACAGGTACAGGCACGGCTGGTCCTTCCATCAATCACTCTTGCCTCTCGTTCTGCTGACTCGAGGATGTCATCCAGCACCAGGGTCTTTTCTAGAGTTAGACCTGACCCTTCCATGAGAAGCCGCTGCTTCAGCTTGGAGCTTATGGTCTTCTCGATCACTTGGTCCCTGATAAATTCATCCTCTGAGGACCGTGCTGAACAACTGTATTGTATTGTATTGTATTGTATTGTATTGACATCGCGTCTCATCCACTAGTGTGGCTTTTCATGAGAACAAGTACAGATATAAAATGTTAACATGGATGAGTGGGAACAAAATCACATCACAATAACTATGCACTCCATTGACACACATGATGTTCAAACATTCGGTCGATCTATGTCTGGTCAAGTAATGGTCTGGTCATGTATGTCTGGTCAACTAAACTGGTCAAGCATGGAAACCCACTGGCTGGTGGTCTCACCTTGTTGCTGCCCCCGGGTGGGAAAGCGGTAGCGCTCGAGGTGGCTGTAGTCTTAGACAATTAGGGGCCAGTGTAGAAGTGCAATTTAGGCCGATTGGGACCCTAATGGGTGTCATGCCCTCCGAGACCCCATGCGGACTTCTTTATACATATAACATATAGATAGCCCAGTTGTCAGTTAATGTTACTGTCCGTTCTCGTCCCCAGAGATGGGCCACCAAGCTTGCGCTTACGATCACCCAGAATGGGAGCCTGCGTCATTACGATTAGCAGCTACTCTCGCCGCGCACCGTTGACTTTCCAGCCAGAAGTTGGACGTCGCGTAGTCAGGACGGCGATAGGTAGGAACAACAGATCGACGCCCCGAGGACAGAAACAATAGATTGATACTTTAAGGAGAATATCCGGGACACGGAATTGGGTCGCCTGAAAAGACGAAATGTAACGTAGGTATTGCTGAGCGAAAAAGGCTTTCGGGTAAAAAATTAAGCACGTGAAAACAGTCACGGGTAATTGAATATATCAATGTGCTCACATTGTATCCATGTTTCGTTTACATATTTGCTTTTGTGTGCACTGACAATTCGCAGTAAAAATTCGCTTGCCTTTTCGCTTTTGCCGCCCCCCCCCCCCAGTGGTAACAGTTTTGCTCCCACTGCAGGGGGTAGGTGGCAGGCCGGTTACTGTGGGATGTTTGGCCCCTAGTTAAAGGGACCCTCCCACCTTCAAAAAAGTTAATGAATTGGCATGAAAGTGATGTGGCTCGGTTCAGAAAGAGCAAAAACAAATATCTACCAAATTTCATCGAAAAATACTCACCGGTTTTCAAGATATTTGACTTTTACTTTTGTTTACATTTTGGGATCTCCGCTGTTCCAAGCGACTTTATTTGAAAGTGCGGCATTTGTTGCGCGCAAAGCAGCATATACCACCGCGTGCTACAAAACGTTTTAGTCAAACATTTAAAAATCGTTAGATATCTGCGCTGACGTCACACATTCAGAGGGGTATTCCTATGCATTAGCCCCTCTGAATCAAAATGCTGCAATTTTGAAATTCAATATTTCCGATTTAAGGCATTTCTCGATGTTGTGAGTGCCGAAACCGGTAATTGTGAGCCAGGGACCCCATTTTGGCTATCTCAACTCAAATCTAATGTTAAGGTGGGAGGGTCCCTTTAATATGTTAGACGAGGCCCTGGGGGAGGGCGGGGGGGGGGGGGGCAAGGCAACATTAGCTGACTGAAGCATGGTAAGTGAGGCTTTTCCTTCCCCATGCGTTTCTTTGCAAAAAAAAAATCGTGATGAAATATGGCAAGCACTTACCTAGCTGCTGCTCGGATAGTCAGTACTTGATTTATGTCGCTCTGATTATCGGAACGCGAAAAAGTTGGGGGGGGGGGCAGTCTCCCCACTCTAGCAAAGTGGGGGGTGCCCGGCCTCTGCTGGCTGCCCCGAAGGCGACGCCCATGGCCGGACCCTACCACCCGTAATGGGGGAGGGGCGTTTCGCCCCCCTAAGGTCTCGGAAAGTTACCGGTCGATTTTCAAAATTCAAACGGCGTTCGATAGCCCCACCGGGGAACTACCTTAGGACCGAATTTCATTGACTTTGGTTCATTTGATGACGTCACAAGTCAGGTCAAAGTTCGCCTTTTTCACCGTTTGCAGGCATTCTAAGAGAAGTGTTGTAAACTCGAGTCAAAGGCATGCTATTAAAAATCATCGATGGAGACTTATTGTCTAACACATACTTATTTTGTTTTTTAAAGTCACTTATAGGTAAATTAACCCTACCAGTTCAGGTCACAGAGGCCAGGTCACTAAGGGTCACAATATCAACTAGTTTGGTGTGATTTATGTTTTATTTAGGTTCATTATAGGCATGGCACATCTGATTATGTGGGTTAGGCGACCTTTGGGGCCAGTTTAGGTTAGGTTCTGGTGAATATCAGGTTCTTCCAGCTGGATGGCCCAGTAGCGTGCACGGGGCTTAACTTGGAGAAGATTGTTGCCCCAGCCAGCTGGTGGGTGATCTTTTCAGTGGTGATGTTTCTGTGATGTAGCCTCTTTATGACCCTGTTCAGGTCTTTTGGATCAAGGCAGACCCGCAGCTTTCCGTCTGGTGTCTTCGTTATGACCAGGCTGGATACCCATTACCCAGTCATTGGGCTCTTGCATGGATTTGATGGCGCCCATCTTCTACATGGTATCTAACCTTCCTTTCTAAGTCATCTCGTAGGTGGATGGGACACTTCCTTGGAGGATGCACCACAGGCTTTAATGTTGGGTCCACTTCAATTGAGGCTTTCCTTGGAAATTTGCCCAGTCCTCGGAACTGGTCCGGTTGCTCCTTGATTAGCTGCTGAGTGTCTGTGATGATTTCGCATGCACTTCATCTCTGACCTTTGACTTCACCATGTGCACCTGCTGTTTTAGGCGGACGAGGCTCAGCTTCTCACATGCTGACAGACTAACCAGGATGGGACCCTCGCAGTCAGCCACATGGAACTTTTGTGTTGACCTTTTTCCCGTTGAAGAAGCACTCAACTTCCAAAGCACCCTGAAGTTGTCTTCCGAGTCTGGAGTCAGAGTCTTTGCGGGTGGTTGCGGGTTGGTTGATGTCCGTGCCGTTGTATGCTGTGATCCTGGTTTTGTCATCTCGGAGGTGCACACTTGAGGGTATATTCTTGATACACATGGCTGGCAGGATGCTGCCATCTGCACCTGTGTCCACTTTTGCATGGAAAGTGTGACACCCAGGCAATCTTCACTTGGAGGTCTGCAAAGGCCTCTGACCTCGACGGAGTCGTTTGGAGAGCATCAAAGAACATGTGCTGAACACGCTGGGGTCTGTTCGGGGAATGTAGTCCAGGGAATCAACATCTGTGACACTGATCAGACCCAGAGACACAGAGGTCGACAGACTGATAATAGGGAGCACATCATCATCCACTACACGACAGTGGAGCACCACTGTCTGACCCGTCCCTTGATTGATAAGTTTCAGAGACAATAAATCTGTTGTTCGAACGAGACCCGTCATACATTATCAGTGCTGTTGTAGCTCGACGCAAACCAGAATGAGCAGTGTCACCAGTTAGACGCTCATATTTACACATAGTAATGATATAACATTCCGAGCCAGAGTCCACTAGAAAATTTACCTGTACCCCCTGGGCGAGTGTAGAGTTTTGTAGACTCGAGACTCACCGTTCTCAGAAGGCGCCACGTGCAAGCCAAAGCCGACCCGTGTCAGCGCATTTATCTGGCCTTTTATGATCATCGTCTGATCGGCCATAGACGCCGGTCGAGCCGCAGCTGCAGGTACGCACGCCGGAGGTCCACAACCGCGAGTCGCGACCCGCCGACCGTGACGGCGCCACAGTGACGGCGCCACATCCGCCCACTTCCACGAAACAATCCATGTACGATCGTGAGGGTCAAATTCCGCCTTAAAGTCCTTGGCATCCACCAACAGCTTCTTCCCGCTCGTCACGACATAATTTCCTCCAGCGCCGCGCTCCGCCACTGCGCCGGCTGCGGGACTTGACTTCACCGCTCTGCAGGGCGCGGGGCCGCACTCCGCCGCTCTGCCAGCCGCTGGGGCTGGGCCGCGCCGCTGCGCCGGCCATGAGGCCAACTTGAACGTGTAACGGCGTCCGGACAGCCACGCCGCCCCATGCAGTGATGCCATTCATCCCAATCACCACATCCACACCCGTCGGACGAACAGGCACTACCAGCGCTGGCAGTGTCACCCGGCGTTGAACATTTCTCACGTCAATACCCCACACTGTCTGCCACGCCACGAAGCTCAAACAGTAGCTCAGCGCGCGTCCACCACTCCACGACGTCTGTAGTCCCATCGAATTCGGAGATAACGCGCGCGTCAAAGTTCACCTGCTAACGGACTACGATTTTCGACGGCCAAAACTGTAGGTGTCCACTTTTGCCGTTTTCGCCGTAATTGCCCTGACTTCTTTATCAGGCTAATGGCCAATGGGTGCAGTGATCCCTGTCAAGCCGGAGGTGAAGTTTCTTAGGATGGTAAATCAGCCGTCTTACCTACTGTACTCACTTGAGAGAGCTCTGCGACCGATGTTTTCGAGCTATGAACGTTTTGAAATGTGTTGCGCGTACCTACTACGGGGCGGATCGTAAGACACTGCTCTTGCTTTATCGTGCTCTTATCCGTTCTAGACTTTCTAGACTTAACGAAGTCGTCAAGAGCTCGACACTCAGCTGTGTGGTGTGTCTCGCTGCAGAGAGCACACTTGGGTGATGGTCTTGCAGTCCATGGTCGTGAAGGTCCCGCTGTTGGAGATCTTAAAGGCAGATCATCAGCTCCAGCGGCTGCCCTCCGGCTGCCGCGAGCTGACGAGGCATGGAGAGCTGATGCAGCAGGTTGTCGGTAGGCTCTCCCCCCACGGGGAGCCCGGGCAGACTCCTCAGCACCAGCAGCTTCCACTGCAGATCCTGCTATTGTCCTGCAGCGCTCTTCCCTCTCGATTTCTTGCTTCAGACTCTCCAGGAGGTAGGAGAGGTCACCTTCACGCTCTGCAGAATCTCAAGGCCACTCCAGTCTGAAGGACACTGGCAGCCTGCTCAGGATCAGTGGCGTGAGAATTACTCCGTACTGGTCACCGGTGATCCCGAGGCGTTCAAGGCTGCGAACATGATCGTATGTTCTCATCTTTCTCATTCTCATCGCAGCTCATCTTGAATCATATTGAGTTCCTTCTCGTCCTTGCTTCCCAGCTTCAGCAGCTTCTCGATGTGTGCAAAGATGATGGCTGCCGGTCTCGCAAACCTCTCCTTCAGCAGCTGGCAGGCAGTCACATAGTTGTTGTTGTGTATCGAGTGGTCTGTACTTTCCTTATTCTGCTACTTCCGATTGTACTTCATGCCTTTGGCTGACTCCAAAGACTCCTTTTTACTCAGAACGTTTCTTCCATACTACACAAGGCCAAGAACAACAACTTCCAAGGTTCTCGATATGAGGCACACTTTCTAAATCCAGGCAGAGTAAATGACGTCACAAGAGACATCATCCTAATACACAACACTCCTCCCCACTAAACAACACTTCACAAGTTCATGCGCACCACAGGTTTACGCTCACGCTGGGGATGAGTGCGCAGTTCTGGGGTCTTCCGGATGACGTCCGCTGGACGTGCCCTAGGACCTACAGTCTCTTGTTCAGTGTTCGCCTTCGCTGCTGACGCTGCTTCTGGTGACTGTGTTGCAGCGATCCCATCTTCCTCCAGCACGAGCCCGCGGTTACCGGTTGAAGTTACCGACTGTTCCACAGCGCTATGCAGTGGCGGTCCATGTTCTATTGTTCCCGCTGCACCGCTGGTGCGTCTTGCGCTGGGAGATTGCAGTGCTCAGACGGATTGATCTCCTTCCACAGATTAGTCACTGAAGGTCGGACACCTGGCAGACAGACAATCTGATCGACGTGTCGACGCCACACTTCGTCTTGCACTTGGACTAGGTAGTGTTTACTGCCTTGTCGTTCGATGACGTCTCCCTCTCTCCATTTCTGTGCACCTCGGTAGTCGCGGACCAGGACTGATTCGCCGACTTCGAGCGTTCTGTCGTTTCCCTTCTGTGATCTTTCTACTTGTTCCTGTTGCTTCTCTCGAACTTCACTTGCGAGGTTGGGCTTCAGGAGGTCCAGGCGGTTTCGTAGCGGCCTGCCCAGCATCAACTCCGCCGGTGTACGTCCTGTTGACGCTTGTGGCGTGCTGCGGTACGCCATCAGGAAGTTCGGGATGTTGACCTTCTTGCCTTTTGAGGCCTTCAGCAGGTTCTTCAGACAACCCACTGCTCTTTCCGCAGCTCCGTTAGTGGACGGCTTGTACGGCGCTGTGACACTGTGCTTGATTCCGTTCCTCTCCAAGAACCCTTCGAAGTCCTTGATGACGAGTTGTGGACCATTATCCGTGACCAGTTGGTGAGGCAGTCCCCACCTAGCGAACAGGTTCAGCAGGTATTCAATCGTCTTCTCTGTTGTGATGGTCTTCATTGGAGCGATTTCCATCCACTTCGAGTAGCTGTCGATGACAACCACGTAGAATTGACCTTCCACAGGACCAGCGAAATCTAGATGTATCCGTTGCCAGGGTCCCTTGGCATACTCCCATGGGTGCAGATCTCCGCTTGGTGGCTCTGCTCGCTTTTGCCAGCAGCCTTCGCAGTTCCGGACTTCCGCCTCGATCTGCTTGTCCATGTTCGGCCACCAGACGTGCATCCTTCCGAGCTGCTTCATCTTCACCATTCCTTGATGTCCGGCATGCAGCTCGCTCAGCACTCTGGATCTCAGGTTCGGCGGAACCACGACGCGACATCCCCACATCAGACATCCGCGCGCCACGGTCAGTTCGGTTTGCCTCATCTTGAATGGTTGTAGCTCTTCATTTACGGCTTCTGACCAGCCGTTGTGCACGAAGTGCATCACCTTCGCCAGGATTGGGCTTCTGGCAGTCTCTCGTTGAATCGCTGCGGCCGTCACCGGACTCAGCGACTCCAGTTGTCCGATCAGACAGACAGTGCACTCGTCTTCTGGTGCTTCTGACTTCAGCACTGAGCCTTCTCTCGGTAGACGTGAGAGCCAATCAGCTACTGGGATCTGTTCCGACTTCCTGACTTCCAGACATGTGCTTGGATCCGGGAAAATGGATCTGAGATCCGATCCCATGGATCCCGATCCGAGATCCATTCAGATCATACATCCAACCCCTCAATTTTGTCGAGAGATCTACTGGGATCATAGATCTGACCCATCAATTTTGTCGATAGATCCACTCGGATCATAGATCTGCCTCCCCAATTTTGTCGTGAGATCCATTGGGATCATAGCTCATAGGTGCTCATGATGTTAACAACTTTCTTGCATAAGAAGTTATGAATACCAAAGTATGGTTAGAAACAAGCAATCTTATACAAAGGCCATATTAGTAAAGGCATCCAGTTACATTATTTGACCAGTTACTCTGTCTCTCTCTGTCTGTCTCTGTCTGTCTCTCTCTCTCTCTCTCTCTCTCTCTCTCTCTCTCTCTCTCTCTCTCTCTCTCTCTCTCTCTCTCTCTCTCTCTCTCTCTCTCTCTCTCTCTCTCTCTCTCTCTCTCTCTCTCTCTCTCTCTCTCTCTCTCTCTCTCTCTCTCTCTCTCTCTCTCTCTCTCTCTCTCTCTCTCTCTCTCTCTCTCTCTCTCTCTCTCTCTCTCTCTCTCTTTACCAACATCCGCATACAGTTACATTCCGCACGCCACGGAACGACTGAACACTTGAGATGCCAACTTCACCTTCATACGTTTGAATGCACCCAGAACGATGTGGACATCTCGCAGCTTGGGAGCAGCTCTCACAGACCGTTTGCTGTGTGCCTCGTAGAACTGTCGTAGGTGCTGCCATCTTCTGTTTTATATCATGTTTGTTGAGGCAGTTTCGAAGGCATTTCAGCGAATGCGGTGGGTCATACATGGCAATCACAGCTTTTCCATCTACATCAAAGTACGGGCGATCTTCACTTACGCCGAGCTTTTTTCCCAAGAGCTCTTGATTTTGTTTCCCCATGTCAGAGACAATGCTGACAACTCCAAGTCCAGCATGTCTCACCTGTCTCTCACCTGACCATGCACGCACTTAGCTGATACTCCAACACAGCGGCTGTTGCTGGACCAACGCTATAAAAAAAAAAACTACGGGCTACTTCCACTGGCTGTTGATGCCCCGCACCATGAAGGTCAGTGCATGGTCAGCCACTCTGCAGATTTTTCCCAGAGACCCGAAGCCTTCGGTACCCTCAATGTAGTCAGCTCCGCGCAGGTATGTCAGCTTGGGAGCTAGCTGAACATCGTCAAAGAAGAAAGCGACCATTTTTTTCGTTTGCTGGAGCTTTTGAAAGCTCCTCCTTGAGTGCTCCAAGAAAACATCTTAAAAGCCAGGAAACATATTTATGTGTTCCATCCTTCTCCGGAGTATCCTGGGACTCGGCATGACGAACACACGGCTGAGACGACGATAGGCTTTAGCCCCCATGGGATACACGGTAAGCCATTCAATCAGCTCACCATCGCCGAATCGCCGTCCTTGTGGCTTCGTCAGCTTGGCCTGCAGCTTGATGAATCTGGATATGTAGGACGGAAACACATCTTCCAGCTTCTTGAAGGGGCATCATCCAATGACACGATTGGCTTTTTTTTAGACTTTGCACCGTCATCTTCAATTGTCTTTCCCTGCACCTAGTCTAGTTCAGGGCTTTTTCTCTAGAGTAGCTACCTTCACCCTCAGTGTTTCAACATCACTGTCAACTTGGTTCTCTTCCTTCCCCATGATGGAGTCTGATAGCGCGGTCTCTTCGCTCACTTCGCCGCCGCCATCAGAAGCTTCCTTATGTGCGTCTACCGTGTTCTGAGATGTAGAAGAGTCTTGGTAGGTGAAGTGTAGTCTTTCAGCGTCCTTTTGCCCTGAGTTGATGATGGTAGACACTAGACAGGCCTCCCCAGTCTAGCTGGCATTGATCTGAAGAAATATAAACATTGCCCTAAGCAGGGATGCGGAGCCGTGGAAATTTCTGACGGTTCCGGCTCCGGCTCCGGCTCCGGAGAAAAAATCGGCTCCGGCTCCGGCTCCGGGTGAAATGTCATGGCGGCTCCGGCTCCGAGTAAAATGATCCGGCTCCGGCGGCTCCGGCTGCGGCTTCTACTCAGCACATCCCCTATGCGATCAATTAAATACGGGTGGAAGAAAAAAGGCGATGGGATTGGTACACGTTGCTTCTGTATTTGTAAAACAAGGCTATTTTGAATACCACATTGTTTTACGCCTTGTACTGTCAAACCGAACTAGGTAAATAATTGCTTCCTCTTAAGAAAAGGAGCCGGAGTCGCCTCCTTTTTTGACGGCTCCGGCTCCGGCTCCGGCTCCGGCTCCGGGCTATATTGTTTCACGGCTCCGGCTCCGGCTCCGGGCAAAATATGCCGGCTCCGGCTCCGGCTCCGGCTCCGGCTCCGCATCCCTGGCCCTAAGTCAGCAACTGTTTAGCACTCTCGTGACTGCACTCTTCGTATTGAAACAGTCGCTTGACTTGATTTGTCTATTTACAACCGAAATATAATCAGACACGTTAAAGACGAGTGTACGGCACGGGGCTATCGCATTGAAGACCGGAAACCTGCGATCCTAGGGGTGATTACACACTTAGGGCCGAATGACTAATAATTAAACAGAGTTGTACCAAACGTTACAATAATTACTCATATTTTACTACCATACTTTTGGGCTTTTATCTGTTACATAATAATTACATTGGTTTTTACTAATTTAATCTAAATTCTATTTCGCTACTAAGTTGGGGCTACTAATATATAACAATTCTTCCCCCATGTTTAACGTAACACTCACTATTCTACACAGGACCCTCGCGTTCAGTTTATGTACAAGTTCATCCGCTGCACTGGCGCGCGCGGTCGCGATGAACGGCGGAGTGGAGCCTGCGGTGGCAGCTCCACCGAGTCTCGCCGCGCGCCGGCAGTGGCCTGGGCAGGCTGCTCCTCGGCGTCTCGCGTCTGCTCCTCGGTTGCCACGGCGTCTCGCGGCTGCTCCTCGGTAGCTGCGTCCGCCTCTGCTGTCTCGGTGTCGGTGGGGGCGGTGTCCGTGGCGACCTCCTGGGCCGGCGTAGCAGCCGGCTGCGCCCTGGCAGGAGACTCGGCCGCCGCGCTGCTGACTGGTCGCGGCACGATCACTGGCCCCTTGGGCTCTCGTGGCACTCTGTGAGTGAGATCGCTCGGCACTTCAGCATACGACCGATCAGTCTCCCATTGTTTAGCACTCTCGTGACTGCACTCTTCGTATTGAAACACTAAACAGTCGCTTGACTTGATTTGTAATATAATCAGACACGTTAAAGACGAGTGTACGGCACGGGGCTATCGCATTGAAGACCGGAAACCTGCGATCCTAGGTGTGATTACACACTTAGGGCCGAATGGCTAATAATTAAACAGAGTTGTACCAAACTGTGATGTCGTCGTCCCTCCAGTGCAGAGCCGCTGTGACCACAGTCGTGTGTATTTGATCAGGTCCCGATGACAACTGCCCATCGTCCCACACAAGCGCACGACATGCCCTCACATATACGCAACCGACCAATCACCGGGCACGGCTCGGTCACGCCACGTGCCCGCACCAATGAGCGGGCACCACGAGCCGCGTGACCGTGGCGCGACCGTAGTCCGCGGCGCTCCGGCCGGCGCAGCGGGCGGCTGGCGGACGGGCGCGGCCCGGCTCGCCGACCGGCTGGGCGCGGTCACAGCATCTCCCCCCTCTTCGAGACTGCTGGCTGAGCAGTCCTGCAGTCTTCCCAGCCCAGGCGGGTCGGTGCTCTTCTGGGACGTTGGCTCCGTCGAAGATCTGACGTTGGCGGTAGCTGGAACCGGACACGTTGCCGCGCCGGCACCCCAGCGCTCGGTGATGGCGAGGAAGTCGTCTTCTTCTCCGGGTTGTCGGGCGTCTTCAGCGATGGGCGGAGAAACCGTCTGTTCCTCCAGAAGACTCTGCCACTTGGAATCTTGATAAGGTAGTCGCGATGGTAACCAACGCCCACGATGGTGCCGAGGTTGTCCCATCGCCTGCTGATCGGGTCTTGAAGCCAGACGTGGTCTCCAGCTTTCAGCGGCTTCAGTGGATGTGCTGAGCTGTCGTACGTCTGCTGGGCACGCTGGAGATTGAGCGACGCCCTGTAGTCGCACTCTTCGGCCTGCTCTTGCCATTCGGTGGCGAAGCTGCGGCGATGAGCAGGGACGCATGACCGGATGGGGTGGCCGAAGACCACTTGTGCTGGAGAACGTCCGTCCGCTCGTGGAGTGTTGCGAAACTCCAGCAGTCCTCGGTGGAAGTCGTCATCCAGGGAGCCGTTTACCGTCGTCTTCGAGATGAGATGCTTCATAGCCTTCACCGCCGACTCCGCATGCCCGTTTGACTGTGGGTAGTACGGAGTAGAGACGACGTGGTGTACTCCCCAGCGTTTCAGGAAGCTGGCGATCTCTCGACTCTTGTACTGTGGCCCTCCATCTGTACGAAGCCTGACTGGTACACCGAGGTTGACGAAGGCGTCTCGAAGTGCCTTGATGATCTGGTGGCTCGTTGTGTCGCCTCGTGGAAGCTGGTGAACGACTGGCCAGCCGGATAATCTGTCCACGTAGACGAAGTAGCACCTTCCTGCATAGGAGAAGAGGTCTGAAGAGACGTCTTCGAAGATCCTCGTTGGTGGCGGGTCGACAGCCATCGGTTCCTGAGGTAGGCTGGACCGATGCTCTTGACAGGTGGTGCAGTTGCCGACCACGTCGATCATGTCGCTGTTCAGGCCGGGCCACCAGACTGTTTGGCGAGCTCGTC